TAAGGGGTGCTTCTTTTTCTCAAAATGTGGAGTTTTTTGTAGTTATTCACAACCAAATGAAAAAGCGATGGCAAAAGCAAGCAAAAAGAAACTCTGAACAGAATGTGAATTGGAAGGTGCTCCTTTTGGAGGTAGAATGGAAAAAAATTGTTATTTGCAAATTTGTACTCCAGAATTAATACCAAAAGAAAAAAAAATAGAGTGGGACAGTTTAGCTGCCACAATTAACGAAGGTGGCTCTAAACATCGCACTGTGAGATAATTAAAAAAAGAAATTGTTCGATGTGATGGTGTAAAGTTTTGTAGTGTTTATTTAGGCTGCAAATATCAAAACTCATCTGAACAAACTAGTTGAGTGATTCCTGCCCATTAATGTTCGATTTACAGAGGCAACATAAATAAAGAGAGCAAAAAACAGTAGCATGAGTGGTGTAGCTTGTTAAGCTGTTTTTCCCCTACTACGTCAGAATAGTCTACTCTTTATCATAAAAAAGACATGTAGAAATTATTAATAACTGTGTGTATTATGTTAAGCACACTTGAGCATCATTATTATTTGCACATTTAATGAATGAAAATGTTTCCAATTAACGTATGCAAATTTGTCTTCAGATGGCGCCTTTATAGCAATGTGCGCACGTCAGTCACACACGATTGTTGGATTACATTGGGAAAACTGGCGATCGCTGCAAGTTGCGCTTTGATGTTTGCCTGGTCAACTGTATTGTATGGAAACATTATATACTTGCTAGACATGTAAATGGTCCCATGTCATACTACTGCCATTGCACAACTGAAAAATACTTTGTAGTGTGCAATTTAACATAATTGTTTCTTGGAGTTGCCAATTTAAATAAAACAAATACACACAAGAAAAGCACGTACGCCAAGCATGAAGTTAGCGTGGATTAGTGCACACTCACATTCATTTTATTGTTAGTAAATCCAAACGTTAGCGTGAAATCTGGCGTAAGCAAAATGTTCGTGCTTACGCAGCATTGATACATGAGGCCCCAGGTCTGATAAACTCAATTCAGACAGCATAACCGTCCTTCTTGTAACCACATATCGCCATGGTGTGACCGCAGAATAAACTTGCATGTCTTCCTTGACTTCAGCCATCATTCCAACACAGACACCCATTGCCCTAACCGAAAGCAGGAGATGCAACTCTATAACAACCACTTGTGTCACAACCTCTCCAATGTGGTGCATTGCAATATTTGCAAACAAAACATATGGATCACTTGACAATAACAGAGGAACAATGCAAAATGTAGCGAAATAAGAGTAATGATTTTTCTCTAATCATTTACTTGAGTAAAAGTACATGTATTTAAATGTACTCAAAAAGTACACGTTACTCAACAGTTTTACTCAAGTAAATGTATTGAAGTAAATGTAATTCGTTACTACCCACCTCTGCTTGTGGGCACTTTAAATTTACTTTATTTTAATTTGTTTAATTATTAATATGTTAATGAGTTTAATTGTTATTTGGTTACATATGAAATATTGAATTAATATATTTTTAATATTGAATTTTGCTAAAGAACCCAATCTCTATTTCTAGGAGTAATACAAATAAATATAAAAATACTTTTTTTCTACGGTATTTATTTTTTATAGAGGATCAACACAAAATAATGTAGCAAATAGTCACAAATTTTTAAAAAAGCCACAGCAAAATCAGTCATCCTAAGCTGCAAATATTAGAAAAAAAGCTCCAGGAAATCCTGGAGGAAAAAATATGCTTCCTTGTCAAAGTGCATTGTTTCACTGTTTGGTGCCATCTACTGATTAAACAATATTTAAATTTGTTGTATGCTCCATTAAACCCCTTTTCTACTATGTTTACTCTTAAACTACTACAAAGCAAAACAATGTTTTGTGTCTAATTGTTAATTTGCAGCAAAAAGCTGTATAAAATGCAGAATAAAGTATATCCAGGCAGTACTCTGTACAGTAATTTGGCTGTCAATAAGCCTTTCAATAAGCTTTATTCTGTAATAACAATACTATTTTCTTGTTTATTTTAGTTTTGCTGTAAAAGTTTATTTTAGTTTTGCTGATAGGCTAGTACAAAAACAAACAATTGTGTCTAATGATTAGCTTTATTACCATAGCTTGCCCAGTTATCACTTTTAATTACAATTGCTTTAAATCGAACTTGACATATTCAACAATGCTTTTGAATTAATGCCCTATATAAGTTTAGTGAAATAAAACTGTTGAAAAAATATTTTTGTTCTTTGTGCATACAAAGGAATTTTCATGAATAGTTAATTTCTAATTGAACCACTAAAAACGTGATTTGTTTTCCTGACTTTAAAAAGAGACAGTACCATTCCTATCTATACAGGACAAAAGATCTGTCAATTTTATCTAAATATTTCCAACTATTAACAGTACAAAACATAAGTAAATTAAAAAAACATTATATTCATGGAATACAATATTGGCTACTTAAAGGGCTGGTCCAAAATGTAATTTTAAGGTTTGGTTGTGTTTATAAGATGCAATCCAATTTGTGCTCATGTTTCACTTGAAGGAAATCACTTTTTTTTTTCCATATATCTCACTTTGATTATACACAGCTACTGAAAACGACTGTCATATTTCCTAGTTCCTCTGAAAGGCCCGCCCTCAAGTGACTCTGATTAATCATCATCATAATGTGCTGCAATTTGCGGATCGCCTTTCAGCTGTGTAAACAATCAGTCAACCTCCTGCCTACTCTGTAAAATAAAATCTAACCAGTGTCTGTAACGAGTAAAAATGGGGTGCAGCTCCTTTAATAGACATCAATATTGCGTGTCTATGTGTGTGTGTGAATGTGTGAACTTTCAGTAACAACACGTGTGAGCAGGACTTCCTTTTTCTTTTCTCTGATGCTCGGATTAAGTTATTTTCTGTAATATATTGTGACAGAAGAATAAAGCACAAGATGTGGGATGCTACCTGTTGAGCCTTGATTTATTTTTCTGCTGCTATACAAGTTAAGTGAGCTACCATTATCCTGTATTTTCTTTAACTCAACGCAACGTTACATGACGTCTTTCACATATATTCAAAATATGCAGGTGTAAGTAATATGAATCATCCAAATATCTTTTGTGACTTCATTATCTGAGATGTAAAACGCATGGAAAAGCTGCGTAATGAGAACTAAGGCAAAGTCGTGCATACACATACAGAGACGCTGCACATGCTGGTGGACTTTGTGTGTGTGTGTTAACAGCAGTTTGACTAATTAATATGAATTTGTAGCTAAATCGTTTGCGGTGCAAAGCAGCATTTCCCATTGTTTACATTGTTGCTACAGCATACTGTACTATTAGTACTACACACTGTACATGTCATGATCAAATTTAACAAATAAAAACACTTACAGGATGAGCTCTTAGCTTCTGCTTTGAGGAGATTTTAGCCAAATCCAGCAATGAACTGGGAGAGATTCTGGAGCTGTTTTGTCAAATTATGCTTGCTATGTATTTAATAATTCTATTGAACATAATTAATATTGAACTGTAAGCAATTCTGTCTTGCAATTCTGCCCAAATACAGAAACAAATGAGGCTCTGTGGAAACTGCAGTGTTTGGACCCATGTTTAGCTTTATCTCTGCTATTACGTTACAGAGCTCTGGCCATGGCCCTTACCTGCACAGTGTGTGTACGATGTAAACGAACCATTATGGGCCAAAAGTCTCACAAGGGCCAAAAGTATTTTTTGTAGTGCCCAAAATTCGTTCATTGTAGGCTTTGCTGAGCTAACTCTGTAAAAATCAAGGTCTCCCTTTGCATTGAACTTTGAGCTTTTTACATTCAGAGATGTTGTTTATGTTCACACAGCTACATTACACATCAACTAAAGTTAAAAATATGATATCATAGTGGTCCACCCTTTTAAACAAACCAATAATAAAGTAGAATCTTACCACAACAAATCAGTTGTCACAATAATCTGTAAAACAAAAAAAAGGATATTAGAATCATAAAAATAATTTATTTAAACAATGAATAAATCATGTTAAATCACTGATCAATAATTGATTCACACAATTATACATGAATTCACAAAAATAACTGTTGTAAATAAAGGTATAGAATGAAACATACATATTTAAAAATAAATCCGATTTAAAGTAAGTATTTTACATGTATGTCTAACAGCAAAAAATGACCCTTAAGATTAAAATGTACTGGTCAGCCCATGAAAGTAATTTTATTACAATTCTAAAAAAAACATGTTTTATAAAAGAATCTATTGTGTCATTTTGACTTGAATGGCCTATAATTGATTTATTAAATCTGGCTCCTTAACTCTACTTACTAATTCACACAAAACAATCTATCAGGCACCATGTTTCATCAAAATAAGACCATCATCATATTCTTTAAACTTGCTGTGTGTTTACACCTCAGCTTTAAAGTTGTTGCATGTTTGTATGTGTGTGTGTGTGTGTGTGTGTGTGCACGCTCATGGTTTTAAGGTACAAAACCAGCTTTAGTACAATTTCAGTATGGCTATGGACGTAAAATAACAGTTTATGCAGTCATGGACAAATTTTGAAACCTATGCCAGTGATTTGATGGTTCATAAATATTGCAGCACGTTTACTAATATAAAAGTTGCTTTTTTTATGAAAAATTATTTTAAACAGTCAATTAAGAAAATTAAATAAGCATACTATAATAAAGAAAATCTGCTCTAAATCTAAATAAATAGCCAAATACTCTCAATGTCGCAGTTCACAAAATTGTGCATCATAATTAACAAACATTCATTCAATTTTTTTTAGCATAGTCCCTTTATTAATTCGGCGTTGCCACAGCGGATTGAACTGCCAACTTATCCAGCACGTTTTTTACGCAGCGGATGACCTTCCAGCCGCAACCCATCACTGGGAAACACATCCACACACACAACAGACAATTTAGCCAACCTAGTTCCAATATAGCACTTGTCTTTGGACTGTGGGGGAAACCAGAGCACCCGGAGGAAACCCAGGCAAACACAGGGAGAACATGCAAATTCCACACAGAAACGCAAAGGCGACAGCATTACTTACTGCAGCACTGCGTCGCCTATTTAACAAGCAATTTACTACAAATTTTACGGAATTTAGCTCACATAAATTATTCTATATTATGTTATAAACTACTGCGCTTTTCCTTCACAACACACGCAGATCAGTGCATCCAGATATTTTATTCTGATTTGAGAATATGTTTAAGGATCTAATTTAGCCTGTGATCAGTTATTAAGATCATAAGATCCAACATTTGCCCAATCTTCTTAAATTATTTAAACAGAATACCAATTAAAACCTCTGCTTTCAAGTTTTTATGCATTGTTTTAAAAACACGGACACACACCAGCAGGGACGGACTTTTTCCGCGGGTCTGATAATCAAGCCTTTGATCGCTTGCCCCCGCTCTTCACTTACCAACGACAGACTTAAAACAGAGCAGCTGAATAGTTGAATGTGATTTTCTCTACGCACGTTAATTTTTGACTAAGCAATACTACTTTCACATTCGTTCGACTGTACATGAACCATAACGTCTTTATTGTGAAACTATCAATCTAAATAATATATTAAAAAAATTGTTTTTACTGGAGCACGTGCGAAAGTCTAGCAACACTCCTGACGCTAACCAAGTACATTTTGTTACGTAGTAATTTATTACAGTAAGAGTGCTATTCATTATAAAATGCAGCCACAAAACATACACACAGATAATGAACAACTAATATCAACGTAACACGATTATGGATGCACAAAATTAAAATAAATTTTAGAAAAATTACACAGACAAAAGCTATATCTACCTACCACACTTTTCTTCGGTGCTGGTAAAAACAATAATGCGCTCAAAGTAAAAAACGGTGCTCCCTCTAGTGGATTGGAGTTTAAAACTCGTACTGCTTTTAGGCTACTTATTACTTACACATTTACCTTGATAAGACTGTGCTTAACTCTTATATTTTGCTAAATAAATTATTTTGAACAAAACTGCACACACAATCTTATTTAAACAACGACAGAGGTAAAAAGTCCTTCATATCAATTAAGGCAAATACTACAGGGGTCCATTCTTGTACATGGATTACTCAGTTGGATTTAGTTGCTGATGATTTGAGATGGTCTAGGATCATTTTAATCTACATAACAAAATGTTAAAAAATCATAATTAAAACTTATGCACTTTGTACTCCAAAAAAAGTACAAAAACGGTCACGGGGAGATTGTCTTTAAAGGATTAAAAAATGTTATTAATATGGACTCTTTCAATGTCACATTTTTTCCTTACAATTAAGAAAAGTTACTATAATAAACACTATCGATTCTAAATGTAAAACTAGATAAATTGCCAAACAATCTTGACACACCAAAGTGTAAAGGCTGCAGCCCACAACAATTGTGTAAAGTTATTTTGTGTCATATTTAACAAACCGTTTACTTCGTGTTTTATGTAATTTTGCTCACATGGATAATTGAATATTAATTAGATGATGTCATTACGCTGATGTGCCGTCGGTTGCATAGCTATGATTTTTACAAATCTATAGATCCGTCCTTTACAACACACGCAGCGATCTCAGATCAGTTCATTTAGACATTTTAATCTATAAAAAAAAAAAGAGCACTGTGCTCCTTTTTTCTTGTCAACAAAAAAGGCAATGATGTGCCTCACGTTTTTGGAATACCCTAAATAGTTTAATAGTCCCATTTTAGAAAGCAGTTTAATGGAAACTCAGAGTGTCAACCCTAAAATGAAAAACTGGGTTTTCAGTTTCAAAATAGCAATTTTTTTCAAACTCGACAAAGCAGGGTAAGTCGATGAGGTAACAGAGGTAACTTTAAGTCATAGTCAGTTACTGTGGTATCTTTACCTGTTCAGGAGCAGATTTTATTTTCTGAACTTGCACTTTCTGTCGGCTTCCTCCCCGAAGCGGCATTTCTCACCTTCACCTTATTTTTTGGATTTTGGATATGAGCATAGGTTGATAGAAACGCCAAAATGCACATAACTTTTAAAAATACGCATAAAACATGCGCATAACCGATTAAAATAAACTTTTTTTTAAAGAAAATATGCGCATAAACTACGATGAAATTTAGGCTACTAAACAAATTTCAGTGTGTGCATTAAAAGGTTTGTAATAAGATCATGATGAAAATATGTATTAATAGACAAATCGGCAGGCTGAGCACACAGTAAAACATCTGAAATGTTTAGTCATTCTAAAACCCTTTACCAAAAGCAATGCATGCGCTGAAGAAACAGAAGCAGGACACCTTTCACACTACGTCTGCAGCGAGCAGCTTTTCGGCTGCTACTGCAGAAATCAATCTATCCCTGTCTATTTTATCTAATTGCTATCTCTCTCACTATACAAATACACTTTTTAAAAACTTTTCATACGCACCAAGGCCCGCGGCAACTTCCTACCATGCTGATTTCTTAATTTGAAAGTCTATTTTACAAATTATGCAGAATTGTATGCTTATCATGCTTTATGAGGTTCATTCATGTCTGGTGCATTCAGAAAACAATTCAAACACGGGTATCACTAAAGGTATTCACCAAATGCTGATTTTTCTTACAATAGTTACCTATAAATGATGTACACTGAGTTTTTTTAAATTATAGTTTAATTATATATATATATATATATATATATATATATATATATATATATATATATATATATATATATATATAAAAATATATAAATATTTCCCAAATGATGTTTAACAGAGCAAGGAAGTTTTCACAGTATGTCTGATATTTTTTCCTCTAGAGAAATTTATTTGTTTTATTTTGACTAGAATAAAAACAGTTAAAAATTTTTAAACATCAGTTTAAGGACATTATTAATCCCTTTAGGCAATTTTATCCCCCATAGTCTACAAAACAAACCATCATTATACAATAACTTACCTAATTACCCTACCCCGCTTAGTTAACTTAATTAACCTAGTTAAGCCTTTATGTCACTTTAAGCTGTATAGAACTGTCTTAAAGAATGTCTAGTCAAATATTTTTTACTGTCACCATGGCAAATATAAAATAAATAAGCTATTAGACATGAGTTAATAAAACTATTATGTTTAGAAATGTGCTTAAAAAAATCATGGGATCACAATCCACAACTTCTACTATTATGATTAAAACTGGTCCTCCTTTGAGTTCTAGCTAAATTTAGCACTAAATTGAAAAAATTCTGACAGCTGTCTATTGTCAAATGCAACAGAGAAATCTTTTTTAAATTGTCTGAAACAGTTAAATGCATTGTAATTACTCTGGTTTCATGTCCTTTGGAAGCCCAAATACAGAAATAGAACAAGCTCTGAAATAAGTACAAACGTTTAAAAGGTAAAATGTTACAGCGCCTCTGGCCACAGCCCTTAGATGCACATTTGCTATAGACATAACCTGAAGCATATATGATCATTAACCCATATGCATTTAGTCCACAAAGTTACTTCATTGTAGTTTTTGCTAAGCTCAAGTCAATGTCTCCCTTTGCATTTAATGTTTGAGCATATTAGATACAAAATTGTTTATTAATGCATGTTTCATATATGTCATGTTTTTTATATAAACAGAATGTACTTTGTACAATAAAATACACTGTTGTACAATACTGAAAATCTTTATTTAGCATTAACATTTATAAAACAATAACATTTAAAACTAAATAAAAACTACTATTAACATGCATTTTCTTCTTGATTAACATTAGAATTTACAATAATTCACAAAACACAAACTTTCAATATATAAAACTATGTACAATTGCAGCTTTATGTTAGAGTACTTGGATTTCAGTTAAATACAGAGAAAATGTCAGTAATTAACTAATTTAAGTAATCTAAGAGTTTCACTTTTTAGACCTTGGAGTTTTTCTCTTTGACGACTCAGCTGCCATTCCAACCCTATCCGACATATCACATTGGTGTGACATTTTGCTACCCTGCTCACTAACATTTGTATTCAACTGAGTTACTTCCTCTGACTGATCCTCTGAGAACAGTTCTTCAAGGAACAGTTCTGAACACTCGCCCATGTCATGACTCGTTCCCATTACACTTTCTTCTTTGTCAGCTAATGCGTTTGTGCTTTTTTTGACAAATACAACGTCAATGACCCTCTGACCGCGAAATTTGACTTGTACAGATGCTGACCCATCTCCAAGCAGCATTGCAACAAGTGCATCTGGGTCAGGGGTGCTCTCGTTAGAAATATTTAACAATTTTCTCATCAGAAAATCGTCGATGCCAAAATTATTCATTTTGCCACATTTTTCCTCAATTGTAATATTGCCTCTTAAAGCGGCAACAATTCTCGAAGTGTGACAGCAGGCATCACATTGGTGACACCTCGTCACAGATGTTTCCAGATTTACCTTTAATAAGGCATGTCGTTTTGGGCAGAAATATTCCATCTTTACATCAGCTGTTACTATGATGCCCTCCTTCGTCTCAAAGTTCTGCCTTATCTCTGCAACCGCCATTGAATTGTCAGCACAAGCTGTAATTGTACTTTGTGCTGTAGTCGACAGACACTTACATCCCCCAAATTTACGCACTGACACATTAGTGAGGGCGTACCATTTTGCTACATTAAGTACTTCCCCACCCCATACAGTTAGGGACATGCTGTTTGTCACATCGGCAACCTCATAACACCTGGTCATCATTTTTTGACTAGTGCGGGTGTATGCATCTCTGGCTTCATTGAACTGCAGCACCTTGACTTTGATATTCACCTAAAACAGAAAAACACAACATACTTTTGTTACACAAAACAAAAATGTATAAAGCAACAACATAACCTTACACTAATATCACATTTAAATCATACAATTAATATCACACTACCTACAAATGCAGCGATACGTATAATGAAAGTAGTGTTAATATTAAAAATTGAATTATCAATTAAATCTATTTAAAATTTTAAAATTAAGTACTCAATTATAATTGCAGCAATACAAAATAAATAAATTACTATTCACAAACAAACTAAAATAAACAAACTAAACTCAACATTTGATTTTTGAATGTTCCTTTCATATTTTCAGTTTACATGTTCTAGCACATAGATAAACTAACATCATTACATCACAATTCAGCACTAGTTTTATCTGATGTTTTACATAACAGTTCATGCTTATCATGGAACCATTTGTGATATTGTGCATTTAATTTTGCAAAAAATTAATTTGTAGCAGCAATGAATTGATGACAATGATGACAACAAATACAAATTATTAAGCAGCAGGCCAACTCTGCCATTTCCTTCATTACCCTAGGAGATTTCAGCAGTACTGGATTAAAACAAACTCATTGAATCATTGCACTTGCACCATAATGTGCTCCCCTGCTTGTGGCTAAAGCTGGGCAATATGTACGCCTTAAAAAAAATCCCTACTTTACATTACATTGTCAAATCGAGTTTGCAGATTTTATGTTTTGTTATCAAGTCTCTCTTAAAAGTAACACACTTGGGGCACATAAATCTCCACTGTATAATAATATTGTATTTAGGGCTGCACAATTAATCAAGTTTCAGTTAAACACCCCATACTCTTATTACAGCATTTCTACAATTCAGCCAATTACATTTTCCAAGTCAGAAGAGAAGCATAAAGATAATTGCACAAGTATTTACATTGTGATATATATATATATATATATATATATATATATATATATATATATATATATATATATATTAGTGGTGTTAAAGTTAATGCATTAACACATGTAATTAATTTAAAATAAAGCGTTAAAAAAAATTAACACTATCGCATTTGCCGCATTTTTTTTTTTTTTCTGTTGT